CGTCGTGTATAAGATTAAATGTGATGGAGGTCCAACGTATGTCAGAAGACATAAGTTTGCACAACAAAATCTTAATTTCAAACGAGTATTAGCTCTTATAAATCGAATCAAAAGTAAAAAACAAGCCCATTGTTTAATGTTTTATTCTAAATGATTCTGTCGCTTTATCAGTTATTGGAAATGAACCAATATCTACGTTACTATGTATGTCTCATGTTGTATGGTGATTACGTTTTGTAGTAGATTATTACAGGTTCATGAGTTCGTTCCACCTGTTATTTTGATTCCTATTGTAGAAATTATTATAATTATTCATTATAATTATATATTGTTGCTTCCTATCATTGGTATTGCATTCTACTCATGAGTGTAAGAAGTGACTTCGAATTTCCGTTAATCTTTTCTATATTCCCGAATTGAACATCAACTTGAGATATTTAGTTTGGTTCATCTCTTATTTCTGTATTTGACAAGGTTTATTTGGAATTTTATAACCTGTGTAACTTCGTAGCTTGATTTGTTCTGTTTCAATTGTAGTAGTTTTATATCTTGTGCTCCGATATGTTATTTTATAAGTTTTTGAAATTAATTTTTTAGTTTATAATTTGTTTCATCAAAAAAATTTTGATTATTTAATTTTTACTTAGTTCTGCAACTTAGTTCCCTAAGTTTTCGTTGACGGCTTGAATTTGATTAAGTTAAAATTTATTTCAATACTTGATGATTTTATGAATTTTATAACGTATTTTTATACCCTCCACAATAGTATGGAGGGTATATTAAGTTTGTCATTCCGTTTGTAATACCTCGAACTATACATTTTAAACCCCACAAAGTATATATAATTTAAATCTACATAAAATTCTATATCGATTAAGCGATGTCTGTCCTTCTGTGGTAATCACTCTAGCTTCCGAACGAAATTAAGTAGGTAGATAAAATTTTAGTCAAATGTGTACTATGTCTGCAGGACTTTTGGTATTGAAAATGGGTGATATAGATCCAAGTTTCAGTATAGACCCCTTATAATGGTACTACTTTTTTTCGGTACACTGGAATTGTTTCGAATTTGGAATTTGAAGTTCTTAATGAATACTGCAGCCTAAGACAGAAAGTAGTCTGTGCAGTTCCACGTCTTCGTATATTTTGATTATTTTACCGATATTAATCACCGGAATTGTTTCAAATTTGGTTCTTGAAGTTGTGGTAATGGAATACACAGCCTATTACAGAAAATTGTCTTTGTAGATCCACGTTTTCGTATAGCCCCCATATAACGGAACCTCCCTATATTCGGAATTTTGATGATTTTAGCTACATTATTTACCGATTTTTTTATTCAACTTTAGCATTTAAGTATTCTAATGGTTCATAAACAAGTTGCCTATGCAGGTCCATGTCGTCGTATAGACCCTAATATAATGTCTACATTCGGTATTTTTAAATTTACCAGGATTTTAACAGATTTTATTTTTTTTCAAAATTGCCAAAATCATTCCGGCCGAACTTACTGCTTTTTTACTTGTTACAACATAGTTTCGTTTATTCTGTATCAATTGTGGTTGTTGTGCTCATGTATGTAATATTATAATTTGTTTGAATTTATTAGTTCATATTTTTTTACATAATATATGGTTTACTGTTTTTTAATTGTCCATTATTATTAAATTAAGTTAATATGTTCTCATTACATCAATTTTTTGTGTTGTCCAGAGATAACCGAATTGGATTTCAAAACTTCGCCCAAATTCTGCGGCGTAATCTCGAATTTTGCCAGGTTTTATTTTTCCAAGGCAGGCTTTCTTCTATCTCGCTATTGGTGCTCACTTAATTGGAATTTAACACTCAGCATGCTCTTTCTAGAAAAACAAGTTGGATCAATTTTAATTTCTATACATGATATTTTTATACCCTCCATTATACTATGGAGGGTATATTTATTTTATCATTCCGTTTGTAACTCCTCGAAATACTCATATCAGACCCAACAAAGTATAGCAATTCCTGATCTGCGTAAAATGCAAGGTCGATTTTGCGATGTCCGTCTGTCTGTTTGTTGTGATCACGCTTCTTTCGAACGAATTGAGATAGAAGTCTAAAATTTGTGATGTGTGTGATTTTAGCGACATTACTAACCGGAAATGTTTCAAATTTGGTATTTGAAGTTTGCAATGAATACTATAGCCTACGACAGAAAATTGTCTGCGCAGGTTCACGTCTTCGTATAGTACCATACCATATATCAGTACCACCCTATGTTCGGTATTTTGTCGATTTTAGGTACAATACCCACCGAAATTGTTTGAGATGTCGTATTTGAAGTTCGTAATTGATGCTACAGCCTGTGACAGAAAATTGTTTATGATGGTCCAGGCCTTCGCATAGCTCCGATAAAACGGTACCTCCCTATATACGATATTTTGTTGACTTTAGCTACATTATTTACCGGCTTATGACAAACAATGGCTATGTAGGTCCACGTCGAATAGACCCCAATATAACGGCTATATTCCGTATTTTTTAAAATTTAATAGAATATTTTAAGGATTTTATTTTTTGAAAATTTCAAAACTCGTTCCAAATGTTGGAGGATATTCAAAGTTCAAAGAACTTACTGCTTTTACCTTTTTTTGGGATTTTATAACCTTCGTATCTTCGTAGTTTTATCTATTCAGTTTAAATTATAGTTGTGTTTATTTGTTGTGCTCTAATGTATTTTTTTATAAATTGTTTAAATTATTATTTAGTTTATATTTTTTTTCATATAATATATTCCTTATTATATTTAATTTTTACTAAGTTCGGACACATTGTTCACTTGTTTTCGTTGCAAGCTTGATTTTGATTTGGTTTAATTTTGTTTCAATATTTCATGCCGTTTTTTATACCCTCCACCTTGGAAAGGAGGTATATTAACTTTGTCATTCCGGTTGTAACATCTTTAAATATTCGTCTTATAGCATGTTTATATTAAAGCTTTTTTCTGGATTAACCCTTATTATCAACATATATTTGCTAAATCTGGATTTATTCAACAAGATTTGTCACACAAATTTAAATCTTCTCATAACCGGATTTATTTGAAATCTTCCACAAAATCTTGATACTAATGCTTTGCAACACTGATTAATACGAAAAAATGCAACTGTTGCAACTGTTAAAATACCGAATGAATCAAGTGTTTCTATAAACTATTTGTTTAAATTTCCTTCATTTGTGTCAAACGTTAGCAAGCATAACCAAAAGAAAAAAAAATCTTCCGAAAATCAGAGGCGTGCGTAAAAACTCTCACATATATAGTGAGATGTCCACAGAATTGGCAGCAAGTGGATTTAACTATGATGGGAAAGAAGTAAAAAACAAAATACACAATATTACAAACAGATACCGGTAAGAAATGTTGATGAAGATGCAGTCTTTATACGGACCTGTACCGTACTCTTGTCCAATGCAAATTGTGGCGGTTGTTTCATCTCGACCGGTTGTTTGTGCAGAATCGTTGCACCGACCTGGTGCACCGACATTTATATATATGAAACGAAACCTAAAATTAAGGGATATGGCTATTTATAAAAATGTTGGTTAGTGTTTGTTGACCATTACCTATAGTCCACTAAAGCCAACAGGACCATGGAGTACCAGCCTTTATAATTATAGTGGTCATATGCCTCATTTTTTTGGAGGTTTGACTTCAATGTGGCATCCATCTAAGGTAATTTTAAAGCATTAAATGGTCTCTTATAGAATATATTTTATTTTAAAAAAAACTTACCAAGGGCTCCAAAGCATTGAGGAAAGCCCATTGCTTCGAATCCTTTGACATTTTCATCTATCTTGTTCTCTGTTGCAATGTTGCAGGGTAGGTAGTCCGAGGATAAAACTTCCCACACCTTTACACAAAATTCAATAAATATTACACAGACAGTAGCTTTGGATACCCCAAATAGGCGTCCTATTGTAGCGTATTCGGCGGAAGACCTCAAAGTGTACAAAGCTATAGCTACCCTTTTTATACCCTCCACCAAAAAAGGTATGGAGGGTATATTAAGGTCGTCATTCCGTTTGTAACTCATCGAATTAATCATTTTAGACCCAACAAACTATATATATTCTTGATCAGCGTAAAATTCTAAGACGATTTAGCCCTGTCCGTCCGTCTGTCCGTCTGTTGTAATCACGCTACAGTCTAAACGAACTAAGATAGGAAGCTAAAATTTTGCACAGATCTCTCTTTTGTCTGCAGGCAGGTCAAGTTCGAAGATGGGCTATATCGGTCCACGATATCGTATAGCCCCCATATAACGGTACCCCCCGATAGTCGGGATTTTGATGATTTTATCCACATTTTTCAACGGAATTGTCTGAAAATCCACACAAAGAGTTCCTTGTGGGCAATTTATACCTCCGCAGAGAATTATCTATATAGGTCCACAATATCGTATAGCCCCCATATAACGGTACCCCCCGATATTCGGTATTTTGATGATTTTACCCATATTTTTCAACGGAATTGTCTGAAAATCCACACAAGGAGTTCCTTGTGGGTAATTTATACCTCGGCAGAGAGTTATCTATATAGGTCCACAATATCGTATAGCCCCCATATAACGGTACCCCCCGATATTCGGTATTTTGATGATTTTACCCACATTTTTCAACGGAATTGTATGAAAATCCACACAAGGAGTTCCTTGTGGGTACTTTATACCTCGGCAGAGTATTATCTATATAGATCCACAATATCGTATAGCCCCCATATAACGGTACCCCCGATATTTGGTATTTTGATGATTTTACCCACATTTTTCAACGGAATTGTCTGAAAATCCACAAAAGGAGTCCCTTGTGGGCATTTTACCTCCTCAAAATGAAGTGTCTATATAGGTCCACGATGTCTTATATCCCCCATATAATGGGAATGGCTTCATAAGATATTCCGAAAGTTGGAAAGCGGAATCCCCAATGATGAAAACTGGAACATTAACACCATTTATGTCTCTGCAATTCCTTTGAAAATCTGGACTTTGAAGCATTGACTTAAGTGTACTATTTTCATATATATAAGAATCGTTGCACCGACCTGGTGCACCGACATTTATATATATGAAACGAAACCTAAAATTAAGGGATATGACTATTTATAAAAATGTTGGTTAGTGTTTGTTGACCATTACCTATAGTCCACTAAAGCCAACAGGACCATGGAGTACCAGCCTTTATAATTATAGTGGTCAAATGCCTCATTTTTTGGAGGTTTGACTTCAATGTGGCATCCATCTAAGGTAATTTTAAAGTATTAAATGGTCTCTTATAGAATATATTTTATTTAAAAAAAACTTACCAAGGGCTCCAAAGCATTGAGGAAAGCCCATTGCTTCGAATCCTTTGACATTTCCATCTATCTTGTTCTCTGTTGCAATGTTGCAGTGTAGGTAGTCCGAGGATAAAACTTCCCACACCTTTACACAAAATTCAATAAATATTACACAGACAGTAGCTTTGGATACCCCAAATAGGCGTCCTATTGTAGCGTATTCGGCGGAAGACCTCAAAGTGTACAAAGCTATAGCTACCCTTTTTATACCCTCCACCAAAAAAGGTATGGAGGGTATATTAAGGTCGTCATTCCGTTTGTAACTCATCGAATTAATCATTTTAGACCCAACAAACTATATATATTCTTGATCAGCGTAAAATTCTAAGACGATTTAGTCCTGTCCGTCCGTCTGTCCGTCTGTTGTAATCACGCTACAGTCTAAACGAACTAAGATAGGAAGCTAAAATTTTGCACAGATCTCTCTTTTGTCTGCAGGCAGGTCATGTTCGAAGATGGGCTATATCGGTCCACGATATCGTGTAGCCCCCATGTAACGGTACCCCCCGATAGTCGGTATTTTAATGATTTTACCCACATTTTTCAACGGAATTGTCTGAAAATCCACACAAAGAGTTCCTTGTGGGTACTTTATACCTCGGCAGAGAATTATCTATATAGGCCCGCAATATCGTATAGCCCCCATATAACGGTACCCCCCGATATTCGGTATTTTGAAGATTTTACCCACATTTTTCAACGGAATTGTCTGAAAATCCACAAAAGGAGTCCCTTGTGGGCATTTTACCTCCTCAAAATGAAGTGTCTATATAGGTCCACGATATCGTATATCCCCCATATAACTGTAACCTCCGATATTCGGTATTGGAACGGAATTGTCTGAAAATCCACACAAGGAGTTCCTTGTGGGTACTTTATACCTCGGCAGAGAATTATCTATATAGGCCCGCAATATCGTATAGCCCCCATATAACGGTACCCCCCGATATTCGGTATTTTGAAGATTTTACCCACATTTTTCAACGGAATTGTCTGAAAATCCACAAAAGGAGTCCCTTGTGGGCATTTTACCTCCTCAAAATGAAGTGTCTATATAGGTCCACGATATCGTATATCCCCCATATAACTGTAACCTCCGATATTCGGTATTGAAACGGAATTGTCTGAAAATCCACACAAGGAGTTCCTTGTGGGTACTTTATACCTCGGCAGAGAATTATCTATATAGGTCCACAATATCGTATAGCCCCCATATAACGGTACCCCCCGATAGTCGGGATTTTGATGATTTTACCCACATTTTTCAACGGAATTGTCTGAAAATCCACACAAAGAGTTCCTTGTGGGCAATTTATACCTCCGCAGAGAATTATCTATATAGGTCCACAATATCGTATAGCCCCCATATAACGGTACCCCCCGATATTCGGTATTTTGATGATTTTACCCACATTTTTCAACGGAATTGTCTGAAAATCCACACAAGGAGTTCCTTGTGGGTAATTTATACCTCGGCAGAGAATTATCTATATAGGTCCACAATATCGTATAGCCCCCATATAACGGTACCCCCCGATATTCGGTATTTTGATGATTTTACCCACATTTTTCGACGGAATTGTCTGAAAATCCACAAAAGGAGTCCCTTGTGGGCATTTTACCTCCTCAAAATGAAGTGTCTATATAGGTCCACGATATCGTATATCCCCCATATAATTGTTACCTCCGATATTCGGTATTTTAATGATTTTACCCACATTTTTCAACGGAATTGTCTGAAAATCCACACAAGGAGTTCCTTGTGGGTACTTTATACCTCGGCAGAGTATTATCTATATAGATCCACAATATCGTATAGCCCCCATATAACGGTACCCCCGATATTTGGTATTTTGATGATTTTACCCACATTTTTCATCGGAATTGTCTGAAAATCCACACAAGGAGTTCGTTGTGGGTACATTATACCTCGGCAGAGAATTATCTATATAGATCCACGATATTGTATAGCCCTCATATAACGGTACCCCCGATATTCGGTATTTTGATGTTTTTAGCCATATTTTTCAACGGAATGGTCACAAGGGGTTCTTTGTGAGCACTTTACCCACCGACAGAGAATTCTCTATATAGGTTAACGATAACGTATAGCTCCCATATAACGGTACCCCGCGATATTCGGTATTTTGATGATTTTACCCACATTTTCCAATCGTATTGTCTGAAAATCCACACACGGAGTTCCTTGTGAGTACTTTACACGCAGACATAGATTTGTCTTTAAAGGTCCACAATATCGTATATCCCCCCATATATCGGCACCTTCCTATATTAGATATTTTAAAGACTTTAAAAGAATTTTTATTGAATTTTATTTTTTTGAAAATTTTCTAATTCGTTCCAAATGGTGGAGGGTATTCAAAGATCGGCCCGGCCGAACTTACTGCTTTTTTACTTGTTTCTAATGGAATGCACTTCATGAATGTAGTGTCCCGCTTTTCTAAGGAACATAATCGTTCACATAGGATTCTAAAACATTCTCGACTCATCCGGAAGCTTTCTTTAAAAAACTGTCTGTGCATCTGGTTATATCCAATTCAAAAAAATTCCCTTGCCGTTCCTGCATTATTTATGTGAAAACGAGATAGAATCTATCAACCGGATAGTACCAAAATAATGCAGTACTTACGAATTTCCATATTCTCCTGGACGCTTTTGAACTGCTTTGTTGTTCGCTACGTTTTTTTTTTTATTAAAATTATGATTTTGAACAAAATTTTCCTTTGTTTCAAATTAATATATTGCAGATATTGTCTGTTTTTCTGCATTTGAGCACAACATTGGATAAAAAGATTTTTAAAATTTTAATTTTTTTCCATTTTAACGGATAGAATTTTAAATTTGAATGTTTTTCTTTTCGGTATTGTATGTATACATAAACTGTCATTTATACCCTCTCAACCAACGGTATATGTAAACAAGCAGGGTTAACCCACTAGATCTATAAAACCCACTGGATTAACCTTTTATACTGTAAACGTACTTTTAGACCCCGTAAAGTATATATATTCATAATCAGCATAAAATTCTTAGTCGACTTAACGATGTCCGTCTGTCTGTCTGTTGAAATCACGATACAGCCCACATTATTTGTCGTAGAGCGCCAAAATTTAGCAGAGCAATTTGCATTGTCTCTAGGATAGTTGGTATTGAAAATGAGATATATCGGTCCACGTTCTGGTATAGTCCCCATATAACGGTACCTCCCGATATTCGGTATTTTGATGATTTATTTGTGTGAAAATTGGTATTTGTAGGTCATAACGGGTCCCTGAGCGTGTGGCAAAACATTGAATGTATAGGTCCACGTTGTGTTATAGCCCCCATATAACGGTACCTCCCGATATTCTGTAATTCGGTATTTTGATGGTTTTTGCCACATTTTTTCACTGATTTGTCTAAAAATTGGTATTTGTGGGTCATAATGGGTCCTTGTTCGTGTGGCGAAACATTGTAATTATAGGTCTACGTTTTGGTATAGCACCCATATAACGGTACCTCCCGATATTCGGCATTTTAATGGTTTTTGCCACATTTCTACTAATGTTTCTTTTACCCTAAGGTGGAGGTTATTAAAAGTTTGGCCCGGCCGAACTTAATGTTTTTTTACTTGGTTGTTTTTCAATTTTTTATTGCTTTTTCACAACGTAGTTTGGTTTATACTCTATCCATAATAGTTGTGTGTGCTCATATATGTTATTTTATAACTTGTTTAAATTCATTTCATAGTTCATATTACTTAAATAACATATGTTTCACTTAATTATAAAACATAGTTAACTATGTTCTCGTTGCATGACGGAAATTTCTTCGATCTCGCTATTGGTGCCACTCAATTGGAGTTTAACACTCAGTGTGTTCTTTCTAGCAAATAAAGATGGACCAATGGATGTTTGTATATTTTCTGCTCTTACGTATTATTTTATAAGTTTATACGTATTATTTTATAAGTTTTATAAACGAATTGGATTTAAAAACTGGCGCAAATTCTGTGGCGTCTTCTCGAATTTTATATGATTTTAGTTTTCGAGATAGGGTTTCTTAGGTAACGCTATTGATATTTAATTGGAATTGGACACTCAAACGACGTATGGTACCTAAGCGGGTACATCAAATTACTGATTTGAATTTCAACTACAACCATAACTGGTGTAGAAATGGTGCAGAATTTGCAGCGTCAATTTTTTAGTACAACTTACCATGTAGTTACTTCATCTCTACTATTTGGAGTTTTTAACGAATGACAAGAATGGGGAGGACGTTGGCTTTTACGTTTTGGTGTAATCTGTTTAAATGTAATATGTATTTTGAATGTCAGTGATAAAAAGCTTAAGATAAAGATCGGCCGTGGCCAAGCTTGTGCTTTAACACAAGATTCCCGCTATATGGCAATGAAAATAACATTCATTCAACATTCAGGGTTTCGATTTCCAAAACCTAGCAATCAATCTTTTTAACGTGTCGTTGCATTTTACAATTAGAATCTTTAAACATGTTAAATATGTTGGTTAAAAATGTTATTGGAATTGACATGAAAAACTGTAAAGTTCTGCGATAGAAAGCAACACTTTTTAACATTTGTTTAAAAGTGCTGAAATCTAGTATTCAGAAATCAGTGAAATTCCAATCATCGGTAATTACCACCACATGACTATGGGTGAACTTCTAAGGACAGAAATCAATATTTTATCGAATATCGTTAGGTACCTACGTAGTTTGCATAGCGAAGAAAATATTTACTTTTCAGTGCGAAAATGATTTTTTAAAACAGTTACGAAAGGAATGGCAAACATAATATATATTCTGGATTTAAAGAGGGTGTATAAATTAAATACTTGTGCCAATATTGACTTGGGTTTTATTTAGTAATATTGGTAATATTATCGTAGATAATAGTCTACCTTAATTTTGCTGGTGCAGTGGACATAATCCAGAAACGAATTCTTTGATTCTAGACGTTACGATGTAACGAGAAAAGCGTTAAATCACAAAGTTATATTCAAACGAATTATAAGGTATCCAAATAAAATAAAATTAACGAGAAAAATAAGAACAATAATGATTCTTAATTAAACATTGCCGCCAGCCTTGCAACAACTTGCTATATTGCAATAAAGTAATTATGTATTCAAAAATATGCTTGGTGAGCCAAGGCAATTTAATTTTGCATTTGTGATAGAGTAACAAATTGGATTAGTCGCGGGACACCGTATGGCTGCACTCAGAAAGAGGCCAAACAGGTCCCCTTTCGGAAGCAACCCCAACCAATCATGGTGAGTTGTACCGAATTTGGGAAGCCTGTTTCACCCCTTTATATGCTTTCATAGGTATTACACTGGGCCCTGATTCTTTGATTTCCTCTGAAAGAGGGGCAGGTCCAGTGCTCCTGGCCTGGTTTGGCTCCTTTATAAGTTGGGAAGAGAGCCCTGATGGAATGTACTACATGGGAGTGCCAGCTGCCGATTTGTCATCAATAGGAACTTGGATTGTATACCTCCTGTGATAGATTTAGCCGGAAGTTCTTCTCTCTCCCCATAATCGGGAAGAGTGGCGGCCATCATACAAATATTTTTTCTGTGAAAAGATAGAGACGCAGCGAAGTGAGAAAAACTAACAATTTAAAATGGCCAAATTAAACAACTAGTCTACTGGTCGTCTTACAATTTTGTTTTTACATAGGCGACGAAAGCGCGACCGTCTGTGTCGGGATAAACGTGAGTAACACGACCTAATTTCCACGTTGTGGCAGGTAATTGTTCGTTATGAATTGCTATAATATCATCCGTTTAAATATCGCGCTCTAGATACTGCCATTTATACCGTTTATGGACAATTTGACGTACTCTTCTTTCTGCTATAAGTAGATTTGAGTAGACGTTTTTCTACAATGTCGAATTACGATATTCAAAGGGGTTTCATCTATTAGAAGTTCAGGATCAGAGACCCTTATAAAAAATGACCTAGTGTTAATGCCATACGATTTTCTGGACAATTATTTATTTGATATAACTCTATTATAGCCTCAAAGTGTATTGCTTTCGTAGAAAAGCAAACGGATACACATACGTAGCCCTTTGTAATTTCACAACAATGCCCTTTAAAGGATTTTAAACTGAAAAGACCAGCGAAATCTATGCCTGTAGTGGCGAATGTTCATAATTGTTCTCTCCAGAGGTAGAGAAGCCATAATTTGTATATAAGATATTTTTTCCTCTACATGGTTGGCATTTTCTAATTAACTTGCAAAACAACGAAGTTCATCGAGGTATCCAATACTGCATGCGTAACATGGGTATATGTGGTTTTTCTTCCAATAATTTGTCACAATGTTAGTTACTAAGCCTATTACGAGGGGAGTAAGAAATGTTTGTTGCAAATGCTTGAAGGAGTTATGCTAGTGGGGACCGGACCTGTAATAACCCAGCCGAAAAAAGTTTTTTGGGCATCTAAGGGACAAAAATATTGGATTGTAATCCTGGGAGAAGTATTTTTGGATATGAATCTGACCCTATTAATATTTCTACTGGACGACAGTCGAACAAATTTTTATCTGCCAAACGTAGTTTTGGCATATTAGAAACAAGTTCCCTTTTGATGGAAATCGAAGGAAGGTTGCCTGATATAGTTGGTACAACTAGTGCTGTCATTTCCATGAAGAGTGTATGGTCTACTCGATCCTACACACAAAGAACATGATTTTTGTGACATGATTGATACTGCTTGGCTTACTGCGGAAATTGTAGCTTGAGTAGAAATTGTGTTATACCAAGTCGCTGCTGTAAGCTTTCTCACACAAATGATGCTTCGGAAGCAGGGCCTATAAGAGCACGGGCTGTATACGTGACACCATGATGAATAATGTGGGCCATAGCTGTGGTCAGTAGGACCGATTTATTTTGCGGTTATGGAATACCTGCCTACTTAAAGCACTCGAAGTTTGACCCGAAGATGTCGAAGGCGTATTTAGATTAGAAGTAGTTAGTTGGGGGGAGCGTGGAATACAATCCGATTGAGGAGAAGTCTGTGACGGAGTCGTAGAACTATTACTTGGTGCCGTATCATGGTGAAGAAGAGTGTGATGACATATATGACATTTCGAGCAACTATGGGAACTTGTCCAATACCTAACATCATGACTTCGAGATAGGCAATTAACGCAAAGTCTGTGCCGTTTTGCAAGTGAATAGCGGTCTGCTGAAGTGCGCTTTCTAAATTCTGGGCATACACGTAAATGATGGATTTGCCTAGGACAGGATATACAGAATTTATCAGAGGAAGATTGTGAAGGCTTGGATGGAGCAGTATTCGTAAAATGTGTCCTAACTTTATTTTGCTCTGATTTTGTAGTGAAATATATTTTCTTTATATCTTTAAGGCAGGTGAGCGTCTGAATTCTTTCCGTCAAAGGAAGACATGTCTTTCCAAGAAGACAACGCTGATTTATCTTTAATGCCTTGTTCCCACAGCGTAACTGGAAGCCTTTGTAAACAAAGAAATACTAAAA